CTTCCCTCTCTCCTCCTTTCCAGCTTTTACCTTTTAATATTAAACTACCACCTTTGATAAAGCCTTAGCCCATTGTCCCCTTGCCATGATGAAGCTTTGTCCTCAATAAGATGCCAATTGCTTCAGAAAATATCTCAAAGCTAAGGTAACTTCTTGTTACCAAGAGTTATGGTAACAAGAAAATCAAGATAACACAAAGGAGGTAAAAGCTGGCCAAATTCGGATTTCAGAGCTGTGGTAACATGCTGGATTGGTTGGATAGGCAATACTTGTCCAATGGAGCTCAAATTTGGATATGTTGTAGTTAACATCCATTGGAACAAGTCTCATGAAGATCGTGACCTCATCCGAGCACCAGAGCATGCTGATCCCAGGCCAAGAAGTTGACCTACGAAAATGAACAAAAACAAAGTTTATAACCAATAATGCACTTTTAGCTCATTTTCATTCCAACCAAGGTAAAATCTAAGAAAACACAAAAAGGAAGTAAAAAGCTATAAAATGTCAAGAACTAACTCAAAATAGTGGGTGAATAACATGAAAAATCATGTGTAAAAATGAACCGAACAGTGACCTTTTGCCATTGGATCGCTTGGACTAGTGGAAGGGAGCTGACTGGCTTGTTGCACTTAAGAGGAATTGGTGTCCACTTGATGGGCTGTTGGTGTTTGTTGCGTACTAGAATTACCACCATAGTTGCGCCCAGAGATACGGTTGCTATCGAAGTTACCGCTAGTTGAAGAAGCAGCGTTTCTGTCACCACGATGGAGTTTGTGCCCAGGTGGGTATCCGTGCAACTTGTGACAGGTTTCAATAGTATGGTAGTCACAATCGCATTAACTACAATGGATAGGATTGTCGTTGGCAACATGTCCGCGAGACCGATTTTGAGAAAAATTATTACTTTTGGTATTTCGGACGGCTGCAGCAATGGAGAAGTTTTCAATTGTGGATGAGCCAATTTCCCTTTGTTTCTCTTCTTGAGTAATCAAAGAATATGCTTTGCGAACACTTGGGAGAGGATTCATAAGTAGAATTTGACCACGCACTGCATTATAAGAATCATTGAGACCCATTAAAAACTGCATGATGTGATCCCGATCTTTCTGTTCATTATATGTTTTCATGCCACCACAAGAACAAGTAGGAGGAAGATTATAAGAAGCAAGCTCGTCCCATAAAGCCTTGAGTTTGGTGTAATATAAGGATACCGACATGGTTCCTTGAATGTGAGAAACGATCATCTTTTGGATCTGAAAAATTCTTGGAGCGTTGCCTTGGGAAAATCAGTCTTCAAAATCTTGCCAAATTTCTCTTGCGGTTGCTGCGTAAACCACACCATCCGCCAAGTCAAAGTCAACTGTATCTAGTAGCTAGGAAAGAACCATCTTGTCACAACGGTCCCAAAGAGTGTAATCATCGGGCTTCTTGGTAGATGATGGTCGTTCGATGAAGCCGTCAACAAAGCCAATCTTGTTCTTGGCAGTGAGGGCAATAACCAAGGAACGTTGCCAGGTTGCATAATTGTCACCATTAAGCTTTTTGGAAACTAACAGAAGGCCTGGGTGATCAGAAGAATGAATAAAAAGAGGGTTGGAAGACTCCATAACCGAATTTCTGTCGGCGGAGGAACTTTCTTTCTCACCCATGAAAATAAATCAAGAGTCACGAGGATGGTGCTTTGATACCATGTAAAGTGAAATATGGAGAATATTTTCTCTATTGAATGAATGAATCATATAGGACAGTACAAGGAATATAAAAGATACACGAGGAGCTATTCTAGGTAACTAACTCATCTAGGCTAGAAATCTGGTTTGACCCACATGACGTGGTGTGCACTACAAGTAAATACATAATTACAGATGTTAAGGGATTTCTTTCCTAACACTCGACCTTCAGCTAGTTCATTGAAAATGGAAGATCGGTCTAAGACATTGATATCATTATGGAATCCCAATAACCCAAAAAAGGTATGCCATATCCAAAGATCATATGAAGCCACGGCTTCTAAAATAATTGTTGGTTCATGGAAGTGACCAAAATACATAATGTGCCACGCAGATGGACAATTTTTTCATCTCTAATGCATGCAATCAATGCTCCCCAACATCCTAGGAAAGTGTCGTTGATCCCCAATTGCAAGCAATCTTGTGATGTCTTTGGTGTTTGGCGATCTCAAGTACTCATCACCAAAGGTTGCAACAATTGCCTTGACAAATCTTTTCAGACTATCTAAGGCAGTGCTTTCACCAATCCTCACATATTCATCCAAGTTATCAGCGGCATTGCCATAAGCAAACATCCTTAGTGCGGTTGTGATCTTTTGAAGGGAAGATAAACTGAGAAGTTCAGCGGCATTCCTTTGTTGAATAAAGTAAGGATTGTAATTTTCCAGCGCGTTTTTAAGTCGAAGAACAATGTTGAGACTCATTCGGAACCTCCCCCGAAATAAATGGTCAGGAAATACAAGTTGATTAGCGAAATAGTCTTCATAAAGATTTTGACCACCTCAAGCTATGTTGCGTGGAACGACAACACAACCTTCAACAGAACCACAACGTCTTGATGCTCGTCCCTCATTGGCTAGATTCTCTGCTTCTATACGTGCAAGCAAATCATCTTCATATTGGTCATCAAGGATATCGTTGTTGAAGACAATACTACGTACAAAATGACTTGCTATAGAACGACATGCCATAGATAATATTGAGAACTAATGAGAAAATGGAGTTGAGACAAAATAATGAGAAATGAAGGTGGAATTTGTTTTTTTTTTTTGGTTTGTAGATGAAGGAAAATGAGTGAAGATATGTTCTTATTTATAGATAGACAATATGTCATTTTGGAAAGAAAAAAAAAACTAGTCGTTAGAAAACTAGCTGTTAAAAATTAGCCATTAGAAAACTAGCTGTTGGAAAAGTGGTTATGCTAAATGTTTAAATTTTAAGAAATAATAAAATATTCGAGGTTAGCTAAAATATAGAGCATTGCTGGAGGACCACCTATTAAGTGGTTAGCTATTTTAGCTAGAATTTGGATAAAATTTGGTGACTCTCCTGGAGATGTTCTTAGTTGCTAGTTGCTGGGAGTTGATGCATAAGATTAACTGCTGCAGTGTTTATCATGATTATAGAGAGAAAAACAGTTTTATTGATTGTTTGGCGAACTGGAGCTATAACTTAGATTTGGGTCTTTATATCTTTGTTGATGCTCCAACTTGGGTTCAGACTAGTTTGATTGATGATTTGCTATGAGTTACTAGAACTCGTCTAGTTTCTATTGATATGTTGGTGTAGGTTGTTCTTTGGAGTTTATTCCTTCTTTTTCATTAAAAAAAACAAAACAAAACCTAATAATATTCAAAATTTCTGTAAAAGTATGTGCAATGAAAGATTATCTTTGAATTAAAATAGAATTCGATTTATCAATGCACGACTTTTATTGAGATTTTCGGTATAGATCAAATTGATATAATCTTAAAAATAATAATTGTGGGAGCAAAATTTCACATGGAAAAGAATCGGAAGAAATGTACAAGACTGCCATTAAGCGAGCGTGGGAATGGGATATGCAACTAATCACCCATTGATTAGTTGTGGAGAGTTCTCTACTAAGGAAATAAGTTGGGCCACACATAAGCTCAATACCTCTGAAGCCCAATAGGGCCTAGTAAGGAAAGATCATGGACCCACCTAATCAGGCCCAGTCATAGGCTATTTGGCTCACACCAACCCGGCGTTCATAGACTCAATTATCTTTATCTTCTTAGTTTTTAAGGTACAAAGGTCTTCCACAGACATCGGAACATTGTTGTCCCACAATAATAATAATAATTGTTGCACTCAAACGTAAATAAGGGATTCTTATCCATTCAAGGTTAACAAGTCTAACTTATTAGATTTTTTTTAATCCAAAGATGTTAACCCTAACTTTTACGGCTCGTTTTGGAAATGGCTTATTCCAAAAGCGCTTATTCTAATAGCTTCTACAAAGAAGAAGTTTGATGTTTAGCTATCACACTTGAAAGTGCTTTTACACTACATAAAAATGATTTTGATATTTTGTAAAGCATTTGTCTGCCAAAATAAAATCAATTTTGTTAATTGAGAGAATACCAAATTATCATAAGAGATTTTCTATTTAAACCCCGAATTTCTCTTAGTTCACCCCAATACTTAAATAATTAAACTGTAAGTTTTATTATTGTGTAAAAAGACAAAAAAAGTCATCCAACTTAATACTTAACCCTAATACATCTATACACACATACCCCACACACCCCACCACTCTTCAACACAGGGACACCATGAAGGTAAAGTATTTGAGTTTCTTCATAGTGTACGCTGGGCAAAGGTTCTCAACACCTTTATATTTTGCTTATTTCTCATCATGCAAATTCAATACAAAGTTGTTTCCTTAACCTTTGTGGCTCAAACCAATCCCTGGAATGTGTGTGCAAGTAACTGGCCCCTCTATCTTGTTTCTGTTTCTACACATGTTCGTCATAACAAGTTGAAAAGCACCAACTCTCTGTTTTGTATTCTGTGTGCTTTCTAAGAAGGGCAAATATAGGGCTTTAATTCTTGTAATTATGAGCCCATCTCGAATGTCAAAATTATCATTGACCATGGAATAGACAAGTATTTGTTCAACTTCAACACCAGAAAGTCAAATCAGAGACCAAATTCTATTTTGTGAAGTTTGTGATGTTTGCATATTCCAGTTGATCAAGACGATGAACTCACCTTTTTCACTCATGAATATTAGTCTGATCTCTGCACAAAAAATTATTATTGCTTGAGCTATTGTGGCTCAAACCAATCCCACCATCAGTTTCTACCACACTCAAAGTAGGGCTTCTATAATGTGTTTTTGCCCTTTTCCATACACAATGTACCAAGTCATTTATTTGACTAGTGTGAGCTGATGATGTGTTCTATAATTCCATACCTTCTTCCGTTGTGAAACAATCCCAATCAATACCGTAATAAATATGTATTTTCACTTAGTATTTCTGATTTCAGTTTACTTGCGTTAATCTTAACCTCATTCAATCACATCGCAGCCCTGGTAATATTATGATGATTACAGTTTAGTTGAATAATTAAAAGGTTCTTGGCTCATCTCACTCATATGGTATTCTGAGATTATTCACACATTCATGCTACATGTCTGAGCACACTTTTGGTATTGATGCAACTGTTTTTTTTTTTTAGCAGCTAGAACAAATTACTTTTACTCCAAGCCATGATACCAGGACAAAAAGTGTTTTGGACACAACTAAACAATTCACAACTGATGAGGTAAATAAACTATTATTATGATGTTGTAACTTCTGAGTGGTTGATAATCTTTTACAACTGCCATATATGCTTTTATATAGATATTTAATAGTCGAGAAGCATTGCTTAATTGGAGTCGTGTGCAAGGACGAAAGTGTGGCATAGTAGTTGTCATTAAAAGGTCTGATGGAGCTGGAAAAATTATAACGAGGAGGGCTAGAGTTACTTTAGGTTGTGAGAGAGGTGGGCATTATATTAAGAAGCCTAATGTAGATTTAGATGATGAACAACCAATGAATTCTGAAGTAGATGTAAGTATTGATCACCGGAAAAAAAAGCGCTCTAAAAGCACTGGTACAAAGAAGTGTGGTTGCCCGTTTCAGTTGAAGGGGTTAAATATTGGTCCTGGAGATGAGTGGAAAGTTGAGGTTGTATGTGGAGTTCATAACCATCATTCTGCTGAGTATCTTGAAGGACATTCATATGCAGGACGGTTAAGCAAGGAAGAAAACAACTTGCTGATGGATATGTCTAAAAGCTTGGTGAGGCCAAAAGATATATTATACACTATTAAACGACGATATGGCAAAAATGTAACAACAATGAAGACAATCTACAATGCTAGACACAAAAGTAGAGTGGTTGAGAAAGCTAGTAGATCTGAGATGCAACTATTGCTATGTAGACTATCTGATCACAAATATATTAATTGGCATAGGACTGATGACACCAATTGTGTGAGCGATCTTTTTTGGGCTCACCCTGAAATAATTTTTCAATTTAGATTCAGAAAACAAATTACTTTGAGTATAAAAGATTAATACATGCACGAATAAGAATGTTGCCACAACGAACCAATGCACTGCAAAACTCAAGGAAGAATAGGAAGCAACAACAATTTATATCAGTTTGAAACTTGAAGGGCTCATATTATTAATTATCTTTAGATTGTCTTTTGAAAAAGTTGTTGACGTTTGTGATTTCTACAGGAGAATCAGCCACAGAACTCACCATCAGAACCATGGACATGTTGAGAATGATGAGTCTTGGGTTCCTGTAAGTGCTTCTCTTAATTCACATTGCTCCTTCCATGTTTAATTCTGATTTTATTTTTATTAGTCGCAATGCTAGCTCTTACTTTGCATTAATGTAAGTACTAGTTCGGATGTTTTAATTAGTGGTTAACATGTCTGTGTTTTGCTATCTTTGCTAGCTGACTGAGAAGGTTTAAGTTTGCATGAAAGTACAAGAAAATTCAGATTCAAAGTGCCATACCCCATCTTTGCATACCCTTTTCTATCTGGTGAGAAAACCCATCTTTTATTGAACATATGTAAACATGAATGGGCTAAAGCTTGCGGAAGAGTTAAATTGTATATTTATGCACTTGAAAACAGACAATGAATAAGACTCTGAAATATCATCAAAAAATTAATTTAATACTTACTATTTCTCATGCTCAGAACGTATTTTCTCCTCTAAAGGTATATTGTGGGGTTTAAATAGAAAATCTCTTTTATTTCTTATTTTTTTAGCTTGGGGTGTATTTAAGGGTAGTTTGGGAAGATAGTGGGGTTTACTTAGAAATTGTGAAAATTTAAATTAAAAGTTGGGGTGAACTTAGAATATGGGGTGAACTAAGAGAAGTGTGGGGTTTAAATAGAAAATCTCTTATCATAATATATTATGAACTCAAAAAGCTCTTTCGAATGAAAGTGTTTTCATCTTAGAATCTTTTTTCATCTATATAATATAAATGGTTATAGTTCATACAAATTTCTTTTTTGTTTACGTCTGATACCTAATTTAAATTCTATAATAATAGAAAACATGGGAAATAAGGACTTCCCCAAATCATTTCTTGAATATAAAAAATGGAATTAACGAGACATAAGAAGATTTGTAATTCTCGTTCAACTCTCGTCCATGATTTAAATTTTGTTCTTCAACTTTCTCTTTACCTCTAATCTCTCCCGCCTCTCTAAAGGCAAATAGCTCATCATCATCATCATCATAAAATTGAAACTATTGATATCCTTTTGAGTGCAAGAGTCCACACAAATAAAACAAGAAGCATCTAACCAATCAGGACCAATTTTAACCGCGAATCTCAGTATCTTACAGTTATTCGACGACAAATTAACCGGACCAGCCAGTGATGCAGTGCCAAACAACAACGGCTACTTTACCCATTATAGCCAGTAACAACGCGCCCTCCACCCCAACGGTCACATTTTCTCATTTGTCCTCTAACCAATTTTCTAAAAACACTCTCTCGCTCACTCACAACGTTTTAATTTGTTTCGAAAAAACCAAACAAACACCCTAATGTCGTCCCTATAAATTCATCTCCTTCTTCCTCAATCTCTCAGAACCAGAACACTTTCAACCCACAACAACAACTACAGTCTGAGATTTGTTGTTGGATTTTACAAGATTTCCCAAGATGCATAAACTTGTTCTACTCTCTCTTCTTCTCTTCTCTGTCTCACATTTCAATGTGGTACAAGCAGACAATGCGCCTGCTCCTTCTCCCAAGCCCTCCACAACCACGCCAAAGCCGCCGTCACCACAGCCACAACAAACACCACCACCGCAACCCTCTAAGGCTTCTCCTCCTGCCACTACTCCCGCCACTTCTCCGTCAACTTCTCCGTCATCCCCTCCGAACCCTCCGACTCAGTCGCCACCTTCGCCTGCCCCCAAAACAGCTCCAACAGTTTCTCCGCCAACCCAACAAACTCCTCCGGCGGCGACACCGGCCGTCTCTCCGGCAACTCCTCCGACACCTGTTTCTCCCGCTAAGAGCCCATCCAAAAGTGTGTCTCCCCCGGTTCAATCTCCGCCTACTCCTCCGCCCACCGTTGCCTCTCCTGCCAAGACTCCGGTGACTGCTCCGGCGAAAAGTCCAGTTGGAGTTTCGCCAGTTGCAGAGGCTCCGGAGATTGCGGCGACCCCGGAGATTGCCGCGACCCCTTCCGAACCAGCAGGCATTCCTTCGAGTTCTGCAACACCGGCAGGGTCGCCGGGAATGTTCCCGTCAAGCGGTAGCCCACCAATTCCCGCTCCGTCGAGCCTGTCGCCGGACACTGCGCAGGGTCCATCTAGTGATGATTCTTCCAGTTCGAGTTTGAAGTATGGGGTTTTGAGTGGGCTGTCAATTTGGGTTGCGTTGGCTCTCTAAATCATCTATACTTCCATTTCCTGTGCTTCCATATTATTTATATTTTATTTATTTATTAAGAATTTTTTTCTTTCTCTTCTGCTTCCACGGATTACTGGACTTTTGTATCAATTTTTGTTGTTGAATGATAAATATTAATTTATTATCATATTTTATATTTTATTATGCCCCTTGTAATAAGAAGTAACGAAGAAGGAAAAATAGAAATGCTGCTAGGGAGGTGTGGTGATTTAAATTCTGGGTGTGAATAGCAATTTGTGGATTATGGTTGGAATAAAACCAAATATGAATTGAGGCCCAAGAAGTGAAGATGGTCCAAATTGGTTATAATAATGTTTGTTTGATGGGCAGTCCTTAATTCTATTAACTGGGTCAGAGAGATCTGATCGGACGGTGAGATGTGGATAAAATTGGATTTTGTTCTTCAAAATATAAAATTGGGTTTTCAGTACGCTTCACAAATGTTTGTTTGGTCAGGCAAATTTGGCTGAAGTGAGTTCAAAACTTGCAAAGCTTGGGTTGGCAGCTGGGGAGCTTCTATAATGAGGGGCGATGTTGAGGGGTTACAATGAGGGGATTCAATTCCACAGTTCAATAATAACTATGCATTGACTCGGACGGCTATTAAGGACCCCTCATTATAACCGCTTACTATAACTCCTCTTTCTAGCCTCTTTGTGGCAGCTGTGCTCGCGTATGGGCTGTTTGATGCAGTTAGATGCACATCCTTTTTAGTCCTTATGCATTTCTCGGCTATGAGAAAAGTACAGGGAACAACCCTGCAGCCAATATCGTTTGATGCACTCTTGTATGGATATCATTTGGATGGTATGGTTAGGTGACTTTATTTTTACACCAGAAGGTGTGCTTTTGGTATGAGTGCTTAGTTGCAAGAACACATCTCAAAGGCTTCATTTGGCTACTAACAAAATTGAGGAGGAGCCAAATATCTTAGGTTCAAACTCTCACGAGCGTAAAAATACCTACGAAATTAGGTTTACCTATGTCTTCGTATCCGATGGGGGAGTGAGTTGTAATGATTTTGTTGTCTTTAGGCCATCTCCATCTATGGGCTATATCCCAAATATAGCCCTAAAATCATGTAAAATCCATCTCCAGCCATGGGCTAAACAAAATTTTGGCCTAATTTGGAAGGCCACATTTGGCCTTCTAGCCCTCCAACTGGAGCACATGTAGCCCAGCTTTGGCCTAGGTCAATTTTTTTGTGGGCCCCTTGCATATGCTTTTGAAGAAGATAAATTATCAAGTGTGGACAAGAGCACGAATCATCTCGTGCAAATGTATATCCAATAGCCAACATTAAAAGTGTTGACGTCATCGATGATGTTAGCTGGATATACATGACCGTTTGAGGTCAGATCATTGAAACGCATCCTTTTTTTTGGTTTAGTGTGGTCACCTTTTTAAATGTTTTCAATTCATGTTATTTAAGAAAAAATTATAAAAAATTACTAGTCATGACTGTTGGAGCCCGAAAAATTATGTTTTCAATTTTAAAATGTTTTCAATGTTTTCAATGTTTTAAAATGTTTAAAATGTTTTCAATTCATGTTTTCACACATACTTTTTAAATGTTTTAAATGTTTCAATTCATGTTATTTAACAAAAAATTATAAAAAATTCAACACGTGTCACTCGAAAATTATAGCTCAAAAAATTATTAAGATTCTTTCGGGATAAGACGTGCCACGTGGACACAAAATCTTATCAGAAATCTTGTCATATGTGGAATGTTGTCTCTAAATAGTAGTTTAATTTTTAGCCCTACATGGCTGGAGATGGAAATATAGCCCCGCACTATTCTTTACAAAATTAATATTTTGGAGGGCTAAATTTTTAGTAATGGACTACATTTGGTCCTATAACTGGAGATGGTCTTAGCATCTCTGAAAGAAGGATATGTTTTTGCTATTATGTTTTTCCTTCTTGCCTTCCGCAGATTGTTATCTTGATGTGGACAGGAAATAACGTCACGAGGCCATTTCGAGTAGCTGGAGCAGCTGCACTGGCACCCCTGATCGACAAGTTGTTTTAAAAAGATCCAAAAATATTTCAACTTTTCCCAATCTGGTCTATGCATTTGCGCTTGTGGTCTCTATAGTGGCTGTGCCATGTTTGACAGTTGTTGGCTTGCTTATCCTCTCTAGATGGAGAAAATGAACCGTTGCTTGGAGTGTTTCGTTCTTGTAATTTCTGGCCTCCTAGGTGTATGCTGTTTCAGGCCACCCGTGGACACGCTAGCCACGGCTACCATCACCGGTTTGCTGGTCGGCGGGATGTGGCTCCATACAACCTTGGAATGCATAAGAATGTGCATTCTTTTCTTCCAGCTTTAATCTTCTAACTCTCTTCACATTCTATTTTTATCTTGAGACAATGCCTAGAAATTCACTGCAAATGCAATTGCAATGCCTACAAACTAAGATCTCCTAAGGAATTCCAATTCCATCTCTAACTAGAAGTTCCTTTCCCTCTCCTCTGCCTCTCAAACACCTTTCCCACTTTCCCCTTTCTGTTCATCATGCGAAAGTTTGTTACTGCATTTCGGCCATTAAACTTCAGAATAGCCTATTCAATTGAAATATGTCAGTCCACTTTCCCCTTATGAAAGAACAATATTTTTCAAGAGCAAATTATGAAAGAACAAAAAAGAAGATGGAACGAAAAAAATTCCCAGAATCTTTCTCTTTACCTCTTCATAAATGGATACACCATAAGGAAACCAGTGGTACACTGCCTGCAACAAGAAAATTGATGTAGTAAATTTAATGACAAATTGTAAATTTTTGCTTAAAAAATAGGAAAATACTTTCCTCCAACCTATGTAACTTTAAGTAGGAACGCTTGTATTTCTACCAATAACACTTTGATATGTATGTAGAAGTTTTTCTTTTTGTGTTTCTTATAAATTATTTTTAGACATGTGTTAAACCGTGATTTGCATCGTTCGAGGAAATGAGGCAAGGAGTATCCTAAAAAAAATATTATTAATAGATGTGTAGTTTTGAGATGTGATGCCATGTGCGTACCTTGTAATGCACTTCATACGAATGTTAGGACTCGAACTCAGGCTGCATAGATGATTTCTTCATTGATGTATATTCTATGAAAAAGAAAAAAAATAATCTAAACGATATTAGCATTTTTTTAAAAAAATTTGTAAAAATAGTTTTTCTTAAATTTTGACCACCCAGTCTCGACTCAATGCTGAAAAGGAAATGATAAATGAAAAATCTAAAAAAGTCTATTAAATTTGGGGCCATAAAAGGGGGCCAGAAGGACCCACAAAGACCACTTCTGATCAAAATGCCAGAAAAAATAGACAAAGAAAAATTTGATTAAAATTTTCAGTTGCAAATTATTTGGAAGAACAGAATTGCTGAGTCTCAGTCTCAGCACTCTCAGTCAGTCTCTGTGATCGATGGCAATGGCGGACAATGGGCGAGTTGTGTGCAAATGCACATCGAGGAGGAGCTTCTGCTTCAGAGAAGTGACTTTCGACGAGAAGCCCAATCTCCGAAACCATCTACGAAACGTTTCGACAGTTCCTCTCTTTAGAAACGGCCTCATTACTCGGTGCCCATCTGTCGCCGGAAATAGCATTCTCAGGTTCGCTCACACAATTATAGTTTATTTTTGTTGAATTTATTGATTCGTCAGTGGCATGGTTTGTTTGGTTCACGAGAAAACTCGGGAAATGAAGGAAAAAAAAGAGAAATTTTTAGACTTGCGTGGTAAACTGAATACATGGCTAGGCTCAGTTTGGTTGCTGATTAAATTTAAAATAAAGAAATGTAAAAGGGAAAACTTAATTAATTGATTCCGACAAGAAATTTCTGAGCTAAGCTTGTTTCTTGCTTTTGAAAGTTGAAATTGGATTGATAGAGAATCTAGAGATGTATGTATGTATGTGTATATACATGCATGTGATGTTACAATTGTGCATTAATTAGAGAATCTATGTATTGTATTGTAGCATGGATGCACGAGAGAATTCGAGGTCCTCCATATTGTCCTCATCAAGACATCAGAGAGTTCCCATATATGTGATGATGCCTGTTGATGCATTTTGCATTGATGGTTCAGGGCGTCCGAAGATTAGGAAGTAAGTTTTATTACTTTCCTTGTAGCTGAATACACTGTCAATACTCAATACTAAAGTTTATGAGAGGAATTGATGAGGCTATGATGCATATACACTGGAATTAATTGATTTTATTCTACTCTTTTAAACAGCTTGCTGCTAACTTTTCAAGCTAACTGTTTTAGGCTTAAATGTGCCTTTGAAAACATTTTGAAGTTTATTTATTTACTGTTTTTTTCCCTTTCAAGTTTTACTGGTGACACAGAAATGCTTTATATGTCCATCGATTCATTGTTGTTTCAGAATCAAGGCCTTAACTGTAGCTCTAAAAGCACTCAAGTTGGCAGGTGTCCATGGAATTGCAGTTGAGGTTTGGTGGGGAATCGTAGAGCGTTTCTCTCCTCTTGCATATGATTGGTCTCTATATGAAGAGCTTTTCAAACTGGTTTCTGAGTCAGAGTTGAAGTTGCATGTTGCCTTGTCTTTTCACTCAAACATGAACTGTTCTTCTAGCAGAAAAGGTGGTGTAAGTCTTCCGCTCTGGATCATAGAGGTTTGTTTTCTTTGCTATTCGCAAATCCCATTTGACTGTTGGGCCTAGGAGTTTTCATTAAATTGTTGAAGTTATTAGACTGGTAGAATCCACACGTTCCCCTGTATCAGTACCCTTACATTACCTGGTCATACTTTTCTTACAAGCATCAGAAACATAACCCCTATGGATGGCTATGCATGATATTGACCTTTCTTCAGGATCCTTGCTAATATGCTATGGTCTATGTGTCCCCATTGGCATACTTGATTTCAGCTTTGATGTATGCAGTAAGTAAGCAGTTTGGATCCTGAATTTAGATAGAGAAGCTGATGCTCTTTTTTTCCTCCCAGATTGGCGATCACAATAAGCACATATATTATCGTGACCAAAATGGATTGTCCAATGATGATTATCTTACACTAGGGGTTGACCACGTGCCTTTGTTCTGCGGCCGGACTGCCATCCAATGTTATGAAGATTTCATGTTGAGTTTTGTTAAGAAATTTGAATCATTTATTGGAAGTGTGATAGAAGAAATTAGTGTTGGTCTTGGTCCTTCTGGTGAACTTCGGTATGTTACAGTCACACTAGAACCACAAGTATGAATCCAGTGCAATAATTTCTTATGCAGCATTGCTCACAGGTATCCTGCACATCCTTTTGGCGATGGTAGATGGAACTTTCCTGGAATTGGTGAATTCCAGTGCTATGACAAGTACATGTAGGTTAAGAATCTTTCATCTTGTGATGGAAATTTCGTTGATGTTGAATTTTCCATATTTTCAAACTTTCTTCCTTTTAGGATGGACGACCTAAAGATGGCTGCATGCAAGGAAGGAAAGCCTCAGTGGGGAGAGAGGGGACCACAGAATGCTGGCGGTTACAACAGTCTCCCATCTGGAGTTCCTTTCTTTGAAGAGGGAGAGGAAAGCTTTCTTTCTGATTATGGGTGTTTTTTCCTTGTATGAAACTGATGGAAGTTGCCTGCATTATTATTTTGAAAGCAAATTTATGCATAATACATTGCACGACAGAAATGTTCATTTATTTTGGCTGTTCATGCACATTTCATCCCAGAACTTCCACATGGAATAAAATGCACACACTTCAATGAATGGAGATATTGGGCTAGTGTTATTTTTAGTCATGCAAGACTTTTTGTAGGTGCATGCAAACACCTTGGGTCTGCAATATACAGTATCAATCTTTTATGTAACTTTTTTGTAATCCATTTGTTTCTGGGGGTTATTCTTACGGACTTTTTGAAACTCGAGTGTTACATTACTCTTATGCAACATGATTTTGGAAGTAGATAAGTTTTGAAGGATTCAGTATGAATCTTATGACAAGGGTATGAGGTTTCTCTGAAAAATGCAGTAAATTATATGCAATTTGATTAAAAATCAAAAAAAGCATTGATGCTTGTCTTCCAGAAAACAAAAATCATCATAGGATTGTATTGGTAAGTAAATCAAGAACAATTTTAGATGTATAAATGGGAAAGTGTATTATGGTTACTTATCATGTGATACTTGGCATAACATGATTAAACTGATTGAAATATAATGTGGAGCTTAAGAGATCTGACAGTGGCTTAACTCGTTGTAGGAATGGTATAGTGGTAGGCTGCTTCATCATGCAGATGATATTCTTGCAAAGGCAGCTAAAATTCTGAGGAAATATCAAGAAAACAAGAAAACTTCTATTCTATTGGTGGCTAAAATTGCTGGTATATTTTGGTGGTATCAGACAGTAGCACACCCTGCTGAACTTACAGCTGGATACTACAACACTGCTCTTAGGGATGGTTATGATCCTGTTGCTTCAATTTTGTCTCGTCATGGAGTTGCTTTGCATTTTTCGTAAGATTCTAAATTTTAAGGTTCTTACTAGAATTTTGTTTACCAACCTGATGACTAAAGGGTTTCCTTAGACATGATCTTTTCCAATGTATCTATTCTAGCATGCTCACATACTAAATATCTTATTGCAGCTGCTTAGAAATGATGGACACTGATAACCCAGCATCCTATCTTTGCAGCCCAGAAGGATTACGCCAACAGGTATTTGGCCTGTTGATTAATAATGCATTGCTTCTACGCTTGTTGCCTTGTTGGGAATTAGTTTGAAGTCCTTGTTTCAGTTTTTACATTTTCGTTTGTATTTCTCAAGTGCTTTTCTTGGCAGGGCAAATCATGCCAAGTCTAGGCCCAACATGAGCTTAGCATGCGCCCTTGCGATTTTTATTAGCATTAGGTTTATTGGGTATTGGTAATTTTGTAGTTTCCTTTTAGCATAATCTATTATAAGGTAAATCTTAGTATTAATTGGGTTGTTTTGTCTGGCGAAATGAACAATAAAGAAAAAACGTATAACAATTTATCAACGAATAATTATTTTCTGTACTATTGAAATTTGGAATACAATTTACTACAAAATAAGGTTGGAACTGCATCAATATCATTTTAGCATCACTATAGTTTACGTATATCTTACTTTATGTTGGCATGGCCTGGTCCATTTTACTCCACTAGGTGGTGGTAGTGGTGGTTTGCTGCCATCTATATCATTCAATTGGTTTCTTATATAAAATGTTTACTGGATTTTTATCCAATTCGACTTTGCTCTAACATGATTCTATTTGACCCCAGATATGGACTGCTTCAAAGAAAAGGATAATACATTTGATCGGGAGAAATACCAATGAACGATTTGACAGGGTAGATTCATCCTTTGCTTAAGAGAAAAAGCAAATTTCAGCTACCTTATATTTCTATTTGACCATATATTGGACAGCACACACACAGATATGGATTGAACATTATGTATTTAATCTTGCAATTGGGTTTGCTTATGTAAGAGAACGAGTTTTTGATTGAAAGGAGATGAAATATCTGACAATCCTAGAATAGCAACAAATAACTAGTAAGAATGACTTCTGATATCATTTAAGTTGGCTAGCTTAAAATGAATTTATGGTTTATCTCCTTCTTTGGTTGCCCATTTTGCCCCCATATTCACCCATCGGCTTTTCTCTTGCAGGTTGGGTTATGGCAAATACATGCTAACTGTCACCATTCACAGGCCGAAGCTGTAAGATCATTTACTTACTTCAGAATGAATGATAAGATTTTTAGGGCTGAAAACTGGAATAATTTCGTTCCTTTTGTTAGAAAGATGAGCGCAAATTGGTGATGTGCCTCAACCCAATATAACCATTAAATTTCACTGAACAATCAAGAGCAACAGTCTCACTGCCCTATAATATTTTTTTGTTCAAGGGCAGATATAGAAGTTAAGTAACTTCCTGATTAATGAAATAACTTTGTGTTTCTATCCTCTGTGTGCTTGATCTGTAGTCCAAATGTTTGTATAAAAGCCGAAGCAACGAAAGTTTTGTTCAAATTTAATGAATAGAAAAGTAAACATCGAACTGTTCTGTTGGCCTGGGGTTTGACGTTGTTAACATATTTGACAATCAAGAAATCCAACAGATAAGAGGGCTGCTTGTCAGTTGTGAAGATGGTCCTTTGTGCCACGCTTGATGTTTTTAGGTTGGCTTGCAGGATTCTCTTGTCAATAAGATGTATAGAAAACACCATGAACATGGGGTTTTGATGACTTTAGCAGATTGAATTGGATCTCTAAATTCAAAAACCAACATACGGATTTTGTTGTAAGAAGAATCCTATACAATATGTTGATTTCATGTTATTATTTGCTTTTATAGCAATTTAAAATTAAAAAAGCGTTAGTAATTTAAGCCATTTGAGAGGATTTTGTAGAACCAAAACGCATTTCATCAATGTTTAATTTTGGGGGAGCTCGCTCTGCATTGTATTCCAATGACTCCAATGCGAAATCATTTAACCATTCAATTAAATGGTTATTATTTTAGTACCATGTTCATTGTTTAGATGTATAGAAAACACCATGAACATGGGGTTTTGATGACTTTAGCAGATTGAATTGGATCTCTAAATTCAAAAACCAACATTCAGATTTTGTTGTAAGAAGAATCCTATACAATATGTTGATTTCATGTTATTATTTGCTTTTATAGCAATTTAAAATTAATAAAGCGTTAGTAATTTAAGCCATTTGAGAGGATTATGTTGTACATTATAGAACCAAAACACATTTCATCAATGTTTGATTTTGGGGGAGCTCGCTCTGCATTGTATTCCAATGACTCCGATGCGAAATCATTTAATCATTCAATTACAAGGTTATTAATCATTTAAATCATTTAACCATAGGGGTTCAAGAGAACGAGACTCTTTTCTTAAAATACCATGTTCATTGTTTGGATTGTTCGAGTCATAGTTATCTCACAATTGAGGGGTATGTTTCCGCGTTTTATTTCAGTGGCGCAACGTATGGCCAGGTGACCTATATAAAGCTGTCTACAGCTTCTACTTTGAAGATTGGTGGGTCTTGAGTCTTTGATGGTGTGTATGGCCAAGTGAAACTGCAACAGTTTGGGAAGCACAAACATCTGCCCAAACTATAATTTGGGCGTGAACGGAATAAAACCTGGAACAAGCTATGGATTTGCAACTTTACATATAATTAGTTTTCCAGAGCACCAAGAGTCATAAATGATATGCAAAAACTTGGTCGAAGAAACAGGGCCTTATACTTCTAAATTATTATTTAACACGACTGTACGTGAATATTTTCATGTACACATTCATTGCTGCAATAATGAAGAAGGGAAGCAACAACCAGAGATTGAACTCTAGTCAAATGTCGATTGTCATGCAGACTTGGCGGAGATATCCAAGGGCTTCTTATAAGACTGCAACAGGAGAGAAGAACATACCACACTAAGAGATGAAGCAGCCATACAGGCACCCGCAAGCCATGGTGGTAATCGAATTCCAGTAAAAGGGAACAAGACTCCAGCAGCGATTGGCATGCCAAGGATATTGTAGCCCAAGGCCCAGACATAATTCAATCGAATACGAGACATGGTCTTTCTAGAGAGATGTATGGCTGTAACTACATCTTCCAAATTGCTCTTCATCAGAACTATATCTGCGGCTTCGATAGCTACGTCGGTGCCAGCACCAATTGCCATCCCAACATCTGCTGCAACCAAAGCTGGAGAGTCATTGATTCCATCTCCCACCATTGCCACAGTCAGTCCTTTCAACTGCATCCAATTTTCATTTGACAAGTCAGAAAAGGCTATACTTGCTCAGATTGTACTCACATATTAGGTAGGGGAAAAAACTTAATACAGATTAAAAAATTAAATGTTCCTTAAAGAAATTGGTTTACTCTCAACATATCACTGATAAATTATTTGAAACCAGAATAAAATTGCTTGTGTAGCTGGGTAATAGTAATCCAAGACACAGTGTCTCATTAAAAAGCAAACAAATCCAAGACTCATCAAACCTTTACAAGAAATTCAACTAGTGACTCAAAGCTCTCTGATGTTTCGAAATAAGTCAACTAATGATCAAAGTGTGCTCAATGGTTTTGTTCTCAACCATTTTTACAACTCAACTGGATCAAAAAGCCTTCTGTAATTTTCAGCTGGAAAATGAGTTGGAAAAATTGACAGAGGTAGAGGCTGGAGAAGATGAAAAAAGCACAAACTGGACAGAATTTGAGGCTTGCATGCCTCACAAAATGTCACCACCATCCTCCAGATAAAATGGATAGTAAATTCCATATTCTAGAAGCAGAACTAGGAGGAACATCTGTAAATGTATCACTCACTCATGCAAAATCTTGTTCTAGTCTAGTATAGTTGCCTACATGTCAGGGAGTAAAAGCGTATTAACAAGGCTTCATACAACTACAAATATTTAAACTTCTTGAAATAAGCTTACCTGTAACTCTTTGATTCTATCAGCTTTTCCCAGTGGATCTGTCTCAGCAAACACCTTGTCAATGCCAACCTCCTTTGCAATAGCTGCTGCTGTAGCCCAGTTATCACCAGTAACCATGATGCTTGAAATGCTCATTGAGTGAAGATAAGAGATGACTCGCGCAGCCTCTGGCTTCACTGGATCAGTTACAGCAAAAGATCCAGCAACCTTTCTATCAATGGCAACCAACACACAAGTTCGAGCCAGTTTTTCATTTTCTGAAACATATTCCTCAACCTCAGGACCAACCTGGACATTACAATCCCTCATGAGTCTCTTGTTCCCAACCAAAACCATTTTGTCACCAACTCTTCCACTAACCCCAGCTCCTGTGTGTACCTCAAAGTCCTTAGCCTCCATCACATGCTCAGTTGATCCAAACTTCTTGAGCAGCCTCTTAGCATGCTCCACAACGGATTTTGCTATTGGGTGTTCACTATTTGCCTAAATATTTGTAAAAAAGAGGTGTGTTAGCATAATTGTCAAAATAAATTAAGATAGGACAATAATTGTAATGTTTTTCATCATTCATAAATTAAGAAATGGTGGTAAACAAACAAACCTATCAGCAGTTATTGGGGATTATGTCATGCGTAGCTTAACTCTTTAAGCACTCAAAAGTTTCAAATTAAAGTAAAGATAGTAAATTTTGATGTAAAATTTTGAAATATAAGCACCAACCTCTGCAGCGGTCGCCACAGCACAGAACTCCTCCATTGAGTAATTGGAAAAGAGCACAGCACTGACTACTTCTGGTTTCCCAACTGTCAGTGTCCCAGTTTTATCAAAAACAACTGTTTTCACCTGTAGGATCACACACATATGTATTTTTAGAAAAAGAAAAAAGAAAACAAAAAGAACGCCCAGTTAAATGTCCAGATACCTAAAAAGTGTCAAATGATATGAAATCTATGGATGTGCATGACTTAGGTTCTGTTTGCATCCCTCCATACCGAATGACATTAAATGTAATTTTTTTTTGGTTCAGAGCCTACAAGTTCACAAAACGGAGGCAGAGAATCTTACTGTTCTTAAGTATAAAAGTTGTCATAATTGCAATTTGCAAACATCAACATAAGCTATGTTGGTAAAATATGCGATAATATGAACTTCATGAGACCTGATGACCAATAAAAGGAAAACAACCTCATAAAGGAGGAAACAAGAAAATAACTACACTTGCAACCTCAAGACATATATAGTTTGTGATCAGCAATTCACCTTATTGTGAGATAAGGTCACAATACTGCAATTGTTCAAGTAAAAATTGTCACACTTGCATTTCCTAATACCAAAACAAGCAGGTTTCCAGTCTCCTTTTATTTCTAAATGAAGTAACTAAAGACACTAGCAAAAATAACATGCAAATTGCACCCAGATTCTAAATAGACAGCTGAAAGTTGTTTCCTAGGCAAATGTGGCCTTACCTTATGAGCCTTTTCAAGTGAATTTCCACCCTTGATGAGAACACCTTGTGAAGCACCCTTCCCTGTTGCAACCATTACTGCAGTAGGGGTTGCTAGTCCCAAAGCACAAGGGCAAGCAACCACTAGCACCGAGATACCAAACTGTAATGCCAGCTCAAATTTATCCATGCCTTTTGGTATCCAATGTTTTGGGTAAAGACCAAATTCTCCAGGGATGAACCATCCCAGCCATGTTAAAAATGCTGCAATGACAACCTGATATAGGAAAGGCAAAAGAATTAATTCAGGAATTGAAAAAATTTCATAACACGTGGAGTTATTTGCCTCTGCTAGTTTGTCAAGCAAGAAACTCAACTTTAAACAAAATATTCCAAAAAGAAAAAATAACTCAGACGTTATTGGGAGCACAAAAAATAAAAACTGGCCCACAGAAAGCCAAGAAAGCAAAAGACAGATAAGGGAAATTAAAATGAAGAAAGACCTTAACATAACCTATAGAAAGAAAAAACAAAAGCATTGCCTAAATACATGCTCCTGATCTTTTAAATCAAGGACAAGTCTTCATTTTAGAGAGATCTTTTAAATCAAGGACAAGTCTTCATTTTAGAGAGAAGCTTCTCCTGCTGACAATCAGATGCAGCTAAGTGCTTTGAATGCTTCAATATCCAATTGCCAGTTTTAATTATTATTATTATTTTTATTTTTTGGTAAAAGTATGATAGGAAAAATGCACATAAAACTTCAACTATTGGAATTAAAAATCTTAGAAGCAGGTTAATCTAGCTAAAAAAAGAATTAAGCAGAATATATTACCAACATTACATGGTAAGTTAGAGGAATACAAAATTCAACTTACTGTAGGAACAAAAAACTTCGAAATCTGGTCAGCTAGTTTCTGAACAGGTGCTCTGGCAAGCTGCGCTGCTTCAACAAGTTGAACTATCTGGGACAGTGCAGTCTCTGCACCAACGTGAGTTGCCTTCACCTGTAAGCATCCATTCTCATTGATGGTACCACCAATAAC